TCTCCTTCTCTTCCTCCCTTTTCTGCCCTTTCCAGACTGGTCAGGTTCTCTGCCTCCTCTTTGGATTCCATATTCCAGAGTTAGAGCCTTATGGATTGGGAGGATTCATCCTGGAGCTGAAACTCCTGGGATGAACCTGGTCACTGGCCTGCACCCAGCCTCTAAGCCTGAGCTTAGGGGAGAAAGGGCATTCAGTGGCATTCATTCATTCATTCATTTATTTATTCATTCATTCATTCATTTATTCATTCAATCAGTCATTTGCAGGCCTTGTTGTATCCATCCCTACTGCCACCTTGGGCTGGACCTGGACCCCAGAATTTAAAGTTGGGGAAGAGAAGGAGAGGGGGTTGGCAGTTGTCTGTGTCCCCCCTTCAGGGACTTGTGTGGTGCCTTCATTTCCCTCAGATAACAAAGCTCTCAACCCTTTTCTCTCATTTTGGGAACTGGGGGTGTAGAATTTCACACTTGTGCTGCCTGGGGCATTCATTGGTAAGAACTCTGGATTTAGGGAGCTCAGTTTTGAATTCTAGCTGTGCCATTTACTACTTATATGTGGTACAAACATTGTGTAAAACCTGAGATGAGCTAATCTCTGAAATTCCCCTTAAGCCTTCAATCTTTGATCCTACAATCTCCTCTTCTGTAGAAGTGTGAGGTTTGCCAGTCACATCTATGGGGTTTGAAGGAAATGCTGTTTATTTGTTCTCAGGAGGCCATCCTTCAGTTACTTGGATGTAAAATTTGTTGTCCCCAGGCAGCAAGGACTGTGGCCCTTTTCCCTTCTCCTGGGAGCAGAGGAGCAAGGGTTGTGCCGTCTTTTTCTTCTAACCTCAGGCCCTTTCTGAAGGTGGGGGATTTGTTTTCTCTGGGACCAGGGAAGTGCCAGCCTCTCTCATCTTTCTTCTCTGCTTCCTAGCTCTGCCTCTGAGGACCCTGCTCTTCCCCAAGAGGAAGGAATCCAGGAGAGAATGGTCCCTGTGATCCCAACAGCCAGGTGCCAGGTTAGTTGGATTTTCTTCTTTGCTGAAATAATACCTAGATTCTCAGAGTTTGCAAACACTTCTGGTCCATATGCCAGAACTTAGGAAACTGGGTCCATTGTGATGGGTGCAGTCCTTACCCCATGAGGAATGCTTCCCAGAATTGCTGTGTCAAGTCAGTAAGCATTAATTTAGTGCTTCCTGTGTGCCAGGCCCTGGGCTAAGCACAGGGGATACAAAAAAGGGCAAACTCAAGTCTCTGCCCTCACAGAGCTCACACTCTAATGGGGGAAATAACATGGAAACAATTGAGGCAGCTAGGTGGTATAGTGGGTGGAAAGCTGGACCTGGTGTCAGGAAGACCTGAGTTCATATCCAGCCTCAGACACTTACTAGCTGTGGGACCTTGAACAAAAAACTTCACCTGCCTCAGTTGCTCACCTGTAAAATGGGGATCCTCCCAGGGGTGTTGTGAAGATCAAATGAGATGATATCTATAAAGCACTTTGCAAACCTTGAGGCAACCTATAAATAAGATAGAGATTGGAGATAATCTCAGGCACTAGTGTCCCTTTCCTCTGACCCCAATTAATTAAATTGCTCAGGAATTTAGTACCGCTATGTGCTTGGTACTGAGCTTGGTGCTGTGAATTCAAAAGACATATAATTGACATATTTGACATAATTGACAAAAGACATATAATTAAAACTTATTATGGAGATTTCAATTTCCTTGAGGCAAGACCAACTATTTTATATGTATTAATGATGCATTTTTAGCATTTTTATTTTATTTTATTGCATTTATTTAGTGTTTTATTTTTCCCCAATTACATATAAAAACAATTTTTGACGTTCATTTTTAAAATTTGGAACTCCAAATTCTCTTCCTTCCTTCCTTCCTTCCTCCCTCCCCAACCCACCCCCCATTCAAAAGGCAGACAATTAGATGTAGGTTATACTTATGTAGTCATGCAAAACATTTCCATAACAATCATGTAGTGAAAGAAAACATAGACCAAACAAAACACACACACACACACACACACACACACACACACACACACACACCATAGAACAAAAAAGACCCTCAAGAAAAATAAAAAAGTAAAAAAGTCTGCTTCAATCTGCATTCAGACACCATTAGTTCTTTCTCTAGGGATGAGTAGCATTTTCATCAGAAGTCGTTCAGAGTTGGCTTGGATTGTTGTATTGCTGAGAATAGCTCAGTCATTCACAGCTGATCGTCTTACAATATTGCTGTTACTTTGTACACAGCACATTTCATTTTGCATTAGTCTGGCATTATTTTTAAAAAGACCAAAATGAGGGCAACTGGGTGGCACAGTGGGTAGAGCACCAGCCCTAGAGTCAGGAGGACCTGAGTTCAAATCTGGTCTCAGACACTTACTAGCTGTGTGACCCTGGGCAAGTCATTTAATGCCAATTGCCTTAAAAAAAAAAAAAAAAAAGACCAAAATAAGAAGATGTAGACATTCAAGGCTACAGAGAACAAAGATGTTGATACAGGTTCAGATGAGAAATGAAATATTCCTGAAAGTACATTTTGATTTGATAGGGGTAGCACATAGTTAGTTGGGGAAGGAAGGAATTAACCTGTTACTTGTGGAAACTGGTGAATAGTCCCTAGCCATACTCTCCTGTGGAAGGCAGGTCATGGTAGGGGAGCAATATGAAATTAATTTGGATGGGTACCCATTGTAGTAAGCCATGAGCACCATTCTCAAGTTAATAGTGAACAAATATTTGACATAGGCATGGGAAACAAATGCTGCATATGGAGAGAGGTATGAAAGGCTAAAATTTAGGGGGTGAGATGAAGGTATATGTGGCCTTTCACTCAAGGTAAACTCAGAGTTCTCTATAGGACTGTGGCTGAAAATCAGATTTCAGTGCATTAAAGAGGCCTTGAGTATGCCTTGAGTAGAATTGGAGTTGACTATTTGGGAAGAAAGAATAGGCAAAGTGGGGAATGTGCTAGAGCTCTATGGAGAGTTTAGAAATGAGCAGGCTTAAAATAGTCACTTTCTGTGTAGCATTGAGTAGGTGAAGCTTGATGGAAGCCTCAGCTGTACATAGTTGAGAGTTCTCTCACGTTAGTATGGCTTCTCCTTACCAGTCTCAATCCTCATTGTTCTCTTTTCAGCCTTAGATGGAGCCACTTAGATTACTACAGTAGACTCCTACCGGCCTTTCACTTCTCTGTTATCTTTCCCCGTTCTGTCCATCCATCCTTCCATCCATCCGTCTCTCCGTCCATCCACCTATCCATCATCTGTCCCATTGTTGCCAGATTCAGCTTCCTTATGCAGACACCTGAGTATATCATTTGTTTGTTGAAGACCCTTCAGTGAATCCCTATCCACCTGTGCATTACAATTCACATTCTTTTTCTGAGCATTCAGGACCCTCAACAATTTGACATCATTTCCCCGCTTCCCTTTTCTAGTCTTATCTGAGAGAATTTTCCTCCTTGTGTCAATGCTCTAGAACAGTGGTGTCAAATTAATAATGAGGACCACTAAACTGTATGCATGATCCCCGTGGGCCCATGTTGACTTAGTTTTAAATGTAATGTCATCTGTGTCTTACTGTGTTTTTATTTATTTTGCTCAATATTTGCCAATTACATTTTAATCTGGTTCTGGCACACACAGGAGTGATGCAGACTGAATGTGGCCCAGGGTTGATATCTCTGATCTAGAATCGTGAATTGGATAAAAGCCACCCCCATGATTAGCCCCTCTTGCTCATGCTGTTTTGCCTGGTACTACAATGACCTCTGCCCCCTGTAACTATGTGCTGAAATCCTATGAGATACAGCTGAACCACCCAGGAAACCTGTCCTCACTACTCAGATGAGATAATATTTGGAACAGCACTTAGGACAGTGCCTCGCAGGGAGTAGCCACAATATCAGTGCTTCTTTCTTTCCCTTCCCCTATTCATATCCTGCAGCCAGTGATGAGATTTCTCTTCTTGCTTCTCACAACACATTTGGCCTCTGCCTCTTGTATGCACTTACCTATATCCTTTGGCATAGCTTTCCACTCAGTGTAAACTTCATGGAGAAAGGGACCATGCCTTCTTTAATTTTTTATCTCCCCCAGTGCTCAGCTCAGGATTTTGCATATAGTAGACTTTTTTTTTTTTTTATAAAGACCAGATCTCCCTATCTCTTGTCAGACTGGAAGTCCAGAGGCTACTTAAGGGCCTGGTCCTACTCTGATTGGCCTCTTGGCTTTGACCTCTGCAGTCTCTGACCTGGGCTGATTCTTCCCTACTTAGGCAACCTGGTGGCCCCTCTGCTGTCACAAGTTCACATATTAAAGCTGAATTTAATTTGGACACTTGATGTATTCATTGGCTTAGCACACCGAAGCTTTGAACTCTGGAGCCTGAGAGATTCAGCAACCTCTTTTTTCCTGACAGCAGGGATTACAAGTGTGTGCCACCATGCCTGTCCTGTCGGAGACAATAAGCATATTCTGAGGTGCCTGGGGGACATATTGAGAAATTGTGCGATATGTACAATTGGGAAGACAAAGGGGAGAGAGAGAGAGAGAGGGAGAGAGGGAGAGAGAGGGAGAGAGAGAGAAAAAGAGAGAGAGAGAGAGGGAGAGAGAGAGAAATGGAGTGAGCCCTGGAAGCAGTTCAACTAGGAGCACAAATTGGGGAATGCTGGAGGAGAGAAAAGAGAGAGGAGGGGAGAGAGAGGGCAGGGCTAGTGCTGATTGGGTAGTGCAAGCCCCAAAGAGAAGACACTGTGACTTATCTGAAACTGCCCTTTCCAAGGTACCAATCATCTTTTCACTACTAGATCCAGTGACTTTCTCAGTGGTCATCGTAATCTCTCTGTAGTGTTTGACAGTGTTGACCACTACTGCCTCCTCCTAGATATTCTTTCCTCCCTCGGCTTCTTTCTGTGCTCCTTCCACCCCCCTTCATCTCCACCCCCATGGTTTTTGTAATGCTAGTTTCTCCTGCTTGCTTCAGACTCTACCCGAGCTCCTGTCCTCTCCAGAATAATCTCATCTGTTCCATTATCATCTTTAGAGAGATGACTCCTGCTTCTAAATATTCAGCCCTAATGTGTCCTCTTAGCTCTAGGCACACATTTCCAGCTACCTGCTGGACATCTCCCTTTAGATGTAGCATCTTATCTCAAATTCATATGGCCTAAATATAACTTGTTTTCTCCCTTTCTACCTGACCCTTTTCCAAATTTCCTGACAGCTAGTTGGGTAGGTGGTGTAGTAGACAGAGTGCTGGACCTATAGTTAAGAGCTGAGTTCAGATCCAGCCTCAGACATTTACTAGCTGGGTGATCTTGGGCAAGTCATTTAACCTTCAGCTGCCTCTGTTTCCCCAACTGTAAAATAGGGATAATAATAACACCTACCTCCCAGGGTTGTTGTGAGGAACAAATGAGATACTGTTTGTGAAGTACTTGGCACAGTGCTTGGCACATCATAAGTATGTAATAAGTGCTTCTTCCCTTCTCTCCCTCTCCCTCCAATTCTATTGAGGGGCCCACTGTTCTAAGGTTCCCTAATATTCTCAGCCTCAGAGCTGTCTCTGTTTCTTCTCACTCCTTCACTCCCAGTACTGGATCAGTTAGTTGCCAGATCTCGTCAGTTCCAGCATTTCGGGCCATCACCTTTTACTTGGATGCAGGCTTCAGCCTCCTCATTGCTCTTTGTCTTTCCAGTCATCTCAGGCCTCTCTAATCTATCTTAGCACATTGCTGTCAAAATAATGTTCCCAAGGCAAATGTCTGATGGGATCAGTCTCCTACTCAGGAAGTGTGAGTGTCTCCCTATTCCTTCTAAAATAAAATAAAAACTCCTCCACTTAGCATTGAAGTCCATCCATAAATGGGCTCCCATCTACCTTTCTAATACTTCCACTCCATTTCTCTTCCCATTGGCACCCCCTTCTTTCTTTTTTATTATATAAATGTATTTATTTATTTTTTGTTTTCAATGTTCACTTCCATAAGATTATGAGTTCCAAATTTTCTCCCCGTCTCTCCCCTCCCCCCACTCCAAGATGTTGTGTAATTTGACATAGGCTCTACATATACATTCATATTAAACCTATTTTCACATTAGTCAAGTTGTAAAGAAGAATTAGAACCAATGGGAGAAACCACAAGCAGGAAGAAACCAAAAAAAGAGAGCAAATAATATGCTTTGATCTGCAATTAGACTCCATAGTTCTTTTTCTGGATGTGGATAGCATTTTCCATCATGAATCTTTTGGAATTGTCTTAGATTCTTGCATTGCTAAGAAGAGGTAAGTCTGTCAAAGTTGGTCATCACACAGTGTTACTGTGTACAATGTTCTCCTAGTTCTGCTCACTTCACTCAGCATCAGTTCATGTAACTCTTTCTAGGTGTTTCTTATCGTCATTTCTTATAGCACAATGGTATTACATTACATTCATATACCACAACTTTTTCATGCTCTTAATTTCCAATTCTTTGCCACCACAAAAAGAGCTACCATGTGGGTCCTTTTCCCATTTGTATGATCTCTTTGGGTTACAGCCCTCGAAGTGGTTCCCTTCTTTCTGAAATGGAATTCCTCCTTACCCTTCCCTCTTCATTCAAGATACAGACCAGATTCTGTCTCTTTGGCAAGCCCTTCCTCTTTCCCTCTGTTGTTACCTGCTCTCTCTCCCCTCAGATTTCCTTGTACTGACTTACCTGCATGCCTCCTTTATCTCTCCAATTGCATCCAAGTTCCTTGTATACCAAGACTTTTGTTTTTTTCTTTTAACCTCCAGCACCTAGCACAATGGCTTTTACATCCTGCCTTTGACTAGTGTACAATCTTAGGCAGATCCCTTAGCCTTCTGAGGCTTAGTTCCCTCATTTTGGAAATGGGAGAGGCCTGGAAAGTAACTCCTGAAGACAATGACCTTCTCCTTTTCTCCCTAGAGATTTCTCCTGCCTAGTGGTTGAGTACAAATTTTGGTGGCAGTAGGAGTTTTTGAGGTATTTGATTAGGAATAATGAGAGTCCTACATGTTGTGAGCACCATTCCTTCTAAACCAGACTAACTTTCTGTTTTCCCCAAAGATGTCTTTATAAGAGATAATTTATAAGAGATAATTTTATGTTGGATGTTTCAGGAAACATTGACTTTCAACGATGTGGCGGTGGACTTCACCAAGGCAGAGTGGGGGCACCTGGATCCCGCTCAGAAGGACTTATACAAAGAAGTGATGATGGACAATTACAGCAACCTGGTCTCCCTGGGTAAGGACAACTTTTCTCTGTAATTCACAATTCCACCCCCTTCCCCTGACCCCTAGGGTTCAGGGGGAGGTGTGTGTGCTCACACCTATCAGTCTTTATTGTCTCAATTTCTAGAGCCCCTGGGTGTTTCTGAAGTACTCTGCTAATTCTGATGTTCTGTGAAATCTAAGACTCTATTTAATATTATTGAGGTGAGAGTTGGGAGAGCTGGTTCAGGTGTGAAAGAATTCACTTAGAAGATTTTCTCTTAACCAATGGGAACTTTACTTTGTGCAAGTATCATGGGCCTGAGTTTAGCAAGGAGCTAAACAAAGGCCCCGATAAAGGGGAAAAAAAAACCAGGCTTATATAGACAGCCTGTAGGATGATGATGCAATTGTAGGGTTTCTTATGGAGGTTGAAGATTAGGGACAGGATAAGAACAAACAAGATGAGGAAGAGGGTTGCTTACAAGATAAGGAAAAATTGCATTGACACAGGATGAGGAAGATGAATGACAGGATAGGGAACGCGGGATAAGGGAAACAAAAGCAATTCTTTTGGTTTGAGTTGTATAGTATTTCAAGATAAGGGAGAAAGGACTTTAGGAGCCCTCAGGTTCCAGGATGGGCCACGGAAGGAGCCTCAAACTCCTCAGGGGGCCTGAGACAGTAGCCCTTAATATTCTTTTAGCTTTTAGGGCACCATTTGTATCCACATAATTTCCCCACTCAACCACTAGGCAGGAGAAATCTTTAGGGAGAAAAGCAGAAGGTCATTGTCTTCAGTGGCTGCTTCCTGCTGAACGGGGCCAAGAGTCCACGTCAAGGACCGAGACTAGGTTGGTACTCCGGGAAGAGGTAGGGGGAGATATCAGGCTGGAGCGGATGTCTTGCATCCAAGAGGCTGCCTGTACTATTCTCGAGTGTGGAGTTCCATCTTATGGGAATTATTAACGTACATACAAGAGGTGTTGGCCAAAGCACAAACACCTCTTGAGGAGGCTAGAAGATAGAAGAAGAGCTCAACAGTTGTCTGGAACCATATTGGCTAAGGAGCCAAGTGACTCCCGAAGCCCAGATAAGCCGTGGGCTTGTCATTTGCCAGAAGCAAGACAATGGCTATTAGATTAGGGACGGTTGTCTCATGTTTCCAGAAAAGGGAGTAAGGCCTCAGCTCCGCTGGACAGGTACCAGAGAGTGTTTTCCCAGAAACCTCATTTGACCCGAGGGGAATAGGAGTGAGTATTATTGTAGATTTGGATCAGGGGAACTTGCCTGACCAAGCGTGCGCTGTCCAAATGGTTGGTAAGGGGAGAGATGGGGGGAGATCAGGACAACATCCAGGGAGGGAAACATTAGGGGTGGCTAGTCCACAAAGGGAGACTGTTCTGGGGCCCCACGAGGGGAGCCTATGGTTCTATTTAAGCTAGATCGCAATTTTATCGCCTAAATGAGTGACGTGTTGCAGGAACCAGGTAGATCCCTGAGCCAGTGTACATTCCATGCAGGGTTTCCTGGGGATGAAGGGAGAGTTATGGGGAGTTAGCTCGTATCCTGGGGATGATGGTGTCATATCCAGCAATCCCTTACTCGCCTCACCCCAGAGTTCCTTATTCGAATTAAGGCATTAGACTTCCAGTCTTGGGGAAGCAGGCTTAGCCCCGGGCTCAGGAGGTATCAGGAAGAGGGTGGGTTAGGGACAGAAGGAATTCGAGGCAGGGCCCAGAACACAGCATAGCTGGAGAAAATCAAATAGAGCCAGGGCTGGTGGGAAAAGCAGAAGGAGCTGTGTTCCCACTGTCATAAGTTTATGTCTTGTGTTTCCCGAAGAGCAATTTCAGGTCCTCCACCGGCTGGCACGAGTATTCAGAGTGATGTTCACAAGAACCTGTGGGGGACGGTGGAACAGGTTTAAATTGAGAAACACGAGTCCAACTAAGCCCTTGAGCTTAGCAGTGGTAGAAGTGGTTAGGATGACCTTATACTGCCCCCTCCACTTTTCATCCAGAGGGGTCTGTGCCTTGTGAGTTCCACAATTTAAGATGGACCGAGTGGCTGGGGTAACAGGTAGGGAGGAGCTGGGGGCTCATTTGTCTGGGGTGTGGAGGTGTGAATGAGTATAATCGGATAAACCCTTGCGCACTTAAGGTCTACCAAATGTTAGTTCAAAGGGCCTGAGTTTAACTTTGGCTCAGGGGGCCATCCTGACTTGGAGTAAGACAGCTGGGAGGAGTCCTGCCCAACCTTGGCAAACTCCCAGAGTCAATCTGGTCAGGGTTCTTTTCAGGGTAGGGTTCATCTTTTCAACCTTACCAGAAGACTGGGGATGCCAGGCCGAATGGAGGTGGTAGCTTATGCCGAGGTCCTCAGCAACCTTTTGGGTAATTTGGGAAGTAAAAGCCGGTCCATTATCACTGGGAGTGAGGCAGTCCGAATCTGGGAATAATTTCCTTCGGAAGTACTTCAGGCACTTCCACAGCGACTAGGGAAGGCCTGCCCAGCCAGTGAAAATGTCAGTAAGTACTGAGAGAAGTTTGAATCCTCTACAAGGTGGCCCGGGTTCATGCCCTCTACCAGAATATTGTTGTCTTTCCTCAGGGGTATATTGAGGGCCAAAAGAGGGTGAGACCTGGGGAATTAGGGGTGTAGTTGAAGACTGGGTTCTTGCTTCGCCTTTGGCGACGCCATCTGCCAGCTGGTTTCTGCAGCCGGATCTGATGGCACCTTTTGATGTCCCCTAAGCACATTTGTACTTTGGGGGCATGTGCAGCCTGGAGGAGGCTTAAGACTTCAGGACCACATCTGATGGGGGAATTCTTTGTGGTTAGGAACCCTCTTTCCTGCCATCTCACCCCTTGGGCGTGGAGCCCTGGGAAGGTGTGTTTGGAGTATTTGTAGATGTTGATTCTCTTATCTCTCCCCCAATCTAAAGCTCTAATGAGTGCTATTAACTCAGGCTTTTGTGCTGAGTCCCCACAGGCAAGGGGCGGGATTCAATGGTGCTGTGGAGGCGGATGATTGCAGAGCCTGCTCTCCTCATTCCCCAGGCCCTCAGTATACCTAGTATCATAGGGGTTTTCCAAGGGAAAGTCTGTGAGGGCAGGGCGACTGGCTGGCTTGCACCACCCTGAGTGCCTCCTCACAGTTACGCAAGGGATGCTCAGGATCCCCAGTGGAAGAAAGCAGGGTAGCAGGGTTCAGGGTGGAGCACAGGCGTAAGGTTAAGTCAGGAGTATCAAGGAGAATACTTGGTCAGGCGGCCACTAGCCAGCCATGGCCGCCCTCTTACTTCCAAAATGCTCCGGACCCGCGCAGGTTCAGGACAGGAGCTGCCCCAGGGTGATCTTAGCAGCCTCCCCCACCAAGAGGGCTGTTGCGTCTGGCTGTTTAGAGAAGTATGCCAGTATGCAGTCCCAGGCTCTGAGTAAGGTTGCCCACGGCCTCACCTGTTTTCGTCTACACACAGAGTGAAGGGTTTCCCTGAGTCCGGTAAGACTAGGGCTGGAGCAGAGGTCAAGTCGACTAAAAAAAATATTAATTAATTTATTTTTAGTTTTCAACGTTCATTTTCATAAGCTGTTGAGTTTTAAATTTTCTCCCTCCCCCAAGACGATATGCAATCTTATGTAGACTCTACATATACATTCTTATTAAACATGTTTTCATATTAGCAAGAAGGATTAGAATGGGGGCAGCTAGGTGGCTCCGTGGATAGAGCACCGGCCCTGAAGTCAGGAGGACCTGAGTTCAAATTCGGCCTCAGACCAAACACTTGACACGTACTAGCTGTGTGACTTTGGGCAATTCACTTAACCCCGATTGCCTCACCAAAAAACAAAACAAAACAAAACAAAAAACAACAAAACAAACAAACAAAAAAAAAAATTAGAATGAATGGGAGGAACCACAAGAAAGAAGAAAATCAAAACAAAACAAAAGAGAGAGAGAGAGAGCAAATAGTCTGCTTCAATCTGCATACAGACTCCATAGTTTTTTTCTGGATGTGGACAGCATTTTCCATCATGAGTCTTTTGGAGCTGTCTTACATCCTTGCATTGCTGAGAAGGTCTAAGTCTATCAAAGTTGGTCATCACACAACATTACTATTGCTGTGTACAATGTTCTCCTGGTTCTGTTCACCTCACTCAGCATCAGTCCATACAAGTCTTTCCAGGCTTTTCTGAAGTCCTCCTGCTCATCATTTCCACTACATTCATATACCACGACTTGTTCAGACATTCCCCGATTGATAGACATCCCCTCAACTTCCAATTTTTTGCCACCACAAAAAGAGCTGCTAAAAATATTTTTGTACATATGGGTCTCTTTCCCATTTTTATGACGTCTTTGGGATACAGCTCTGGCAATGGGATTGCTGGGTCAAAGGGTATGCACAGTTTTATAGCCCTGCTCTCCAGAATGGTTGGATCAATTCACAACTCCACCAACAATAATGCATTGGTGTTCTAATTTTCCCACAACTTCTCCAGCGTTTATAATTTTCCTGTTTTGTCATGTTAGCCAATCTGATAGGTGTGATGTGGTACCTAAGAGTTGTTTTGATTTGAATTTCTTGAATCAATGATGATTTAGAGCATTTTTCATATGATTATAGATAGCTTTAATTTCTTCATCTGAAAATTGCCTGTTCGTATCCCTTGACCATTTACCAATTGGGGAATGACTTGTGTTCTTATGAATTTGATTCAGTTCTCTATATATTTTAGAGATGAGGCCTTTATCAGCGAAACTGGCTGTAAAAATTATTTCCCAATTTTCTTCTTCCCTCCTAGTCTTGGTTACGTTGGCTTTGTGCAAAAATTTTTCAATTTAGTGCAATCAAAATTATCCATTTTTTGCATTTCATAATGCTCTCTATCTCTTGTTTGGTCATAAATTCTTCCATTCTGACAGGTAAACTATTCCTTGCTCTCCCAATATCAGCCTTGGTATCTAAATCATGTTCTCATTTTGACTTTATTTTGGTATATGGTGTGAGATGTTGGTCTATGGCCAGTT